GCAGTTGTTACGCAACCTTTTATCGTTATCATTTACTCTACACAACTTAGTATCAAAATCCTTTTAGTACAGCATTTTCGTCCACTGTTCGCAATTTCTAAAGGAATTAAACTTCGAAATAATCAATATCCAGTCCTGAAGGTCAACCTTATCGTTTGCTTCATCTAAAGCATCTATGTGAAACTAAGGATTATTATGTGTTTTATCTTGACTCAAGTTTTCATAATAGTACAAGTTACCACTAAATCGCGTTCACTTATCCCAGTAAAACTATAACTCACTCAAATGGAACCCGATAGTTAATACCTTTCAGTTTCTCTCAAGTCGAAATCGAGTACAAAATCCTTATAAAATGTCAACGATGTATAACTGTTGCATTCCCTCCACTTATGACCATATAGTATCACGACTTCATATTACATCTATACACGTCTATTCAGTGAAATTTCTTTACAATTTGGAATTAGTTTTCATCACGTAACTAATTAAAATATATTTGTGTTTGATGAAATTTTAGAAGTTGCTTCTGATTTACTACAAATATATAAATCGTACATTCATATTTCCTTTAATAAATGCATTCACTGCCAACTCTTTTTTAACCCCATAGATTTTATTTGCAGTCAGCTTCGTATTTTATGGCATTGATACATTTATCTTATTTTCATATTATCGATTGAACGGTGGTTACGTGAATGACCCTAGAATTAAACAACGTCCTAACATACCACCAAAAGTTAACCAGACGTCAGAAGTCATAGCACCACCTGAATATCCAAATGATGGTTTCGAAAAAGAATGAAAATGGCTTCCAAAGCTATTAACATTACAATCTTTATGGTAAGTTACACTCCATTTTGGTGAGGAGGTTGGTAGGACGTAATACATTATTAAAACTTAGCTTCTTTAACCATTCCCTAAATACATGTATAAAAGAACCCACTTGCAAACAGAGGGATTTTCTGAGAATCGAAATGGTTGAAGTACATTTTTCAAGTTGATTTCATAACATATAGCCAGTTCTCTGAGTCTATGAATGATTTTAAACAAAAATGTGTGAAAAAGTTAGTTGATGTTCAGATCATTTTAATTTGGTCAGTTAGACTAACTTACCTATGTGAGTAATAAAAAATCATTTAAGTCAAACAAATAGGTTGAGTTTCAAATCTGTTCCATTTCAGAATAATAAGTACAGACTAGATACAGTATTCGAAAACGTAAGGACATCGACTACCTTCATAGAAGAGCAATACCAATAAGCTAAAAATGGATGTGTTTCTGGAGTTAAGTAAAACTACAGGCTGATAAAACTCGTTACTTCGACCGTTGTCAACTCATCTAGACCAAATCTATAGGCAGGATGTCAGTGTTCCTCGTGAATTATCATGTAAGTCTCTTTAAGAATTACCAAATAATGGAAACAAAAGTAGCTCATGGTAAAAACACAACCCAGGAAGTGATTTCATTTCTACAAAATATCATAGACTTATTCACATCAACGATTTAGGTAGATTAACTCCACTTATCAATTATACAAACTATGCGAAAAATAATTATCTAAATTACTAAAATCGACTTAATACTCCGTTGCATAGGTTCAGTAAAAACGGAATGATACTTAGAAGTATTATTTTTGACAGTTCGATACAGAAAGTCAACTTAGAGAGTCATTCAGTCATCCACAACGAACGACCAGGCACATATATGCATCAGTCCAAGTTGCCACACCTCATTGTCACAATAAGATGATCACTAAATTCATAGAAGCAGTTACTTTAATGGTAGTAATATATGAAAGATTGTATATAAGGATATGATACAGGGAGCAAGAATTAGTTCGTAGAAAGAAAGGTATGAGCAATTCTAATCTCACTGTTTAATGGAAGACAAAGAGTGTATACACCGACGCTATTGTGATCGATTCTGAGCCGTCACCCAAGGTCTCCAACCGCCAGTTACGCGACAGTCGCGCGGACCCCAACAAAGGAGTCTGCATCTACCAATATGACTCAGGCTAGAATTTAGTGACTTTACGAACTGATGCCAAGTTTTGGTTTGGCCCTCCTTAACTTCCTTCCATTAGTCTCCAATACTAATCAGCATTGCGTGCCGTGGTAATTAGTGGTTGGACATACTTACTCGGTAATCCGAGCAGATGCGAGCAATATTTCTAAGACATCTATGATCAAGTACTGGCAACTTACAAATATTTTCTACTTTTAGTGGCCACGTTTCGCAGCCGTAACAGAACGAGCTGCTGCGCAGTATATGCGTCCTTTGATTGATAGACGGATATCTTGCCTCCGCCATAGATGATGTAAGTTGGAAAAAGTCAAACGCGCCTTTTGAATCCGTGCAGAGATTTCATCAAACAACTCATTAGGGCTAATCACACTTCCAAGGTAAGTTGTCAACGCGTTCGACTAATTCACTCCCTATCCTTAGTTCGGCTGTTGACGCAGGTTAGTCCTCAAGCAACAATTCGCATCTAGAGAGGAAGAAACGCATTCTAAATATTATGGCATTGTTGATCAGTGCTGCCAAAAGACTGTATTTTATCAGTGTCATCACCAAATAGGACTATGCCATCTGCGTATTGTAAGTCATTAAGTGGGTCTTCAGGGTTGTGACCAGTTTCCGAAAATCCAGACAACAAAAATGTTATTTCCAGCAGGGTGGGTGAAAATTTGCAACAGAATTGTGGAACTCAGTAGATTTGTATGTTAAAATGACTCCAGAAAATGATTAAAACTAATTTTCCAAGAATAGTAGGGCATCATGTCCTATTGAAAATAAATGATTGTAGTGGGTTTAGAAAACGTGACACCCCATTTATAGCTTTGATTTCTTAACTAATGAACTACGCCAGAACGGATCTAATCAAATCATGATTACCACAGTGGAAACGAGAATCGTAACAGTAAATCTTTAATTTTAAAATGATAAAAGTATCAAATTTTCACTTGCAATGAAACATGAACTACATAACTCGATTGCCAGTGGCGTTCAGAGTTGGATTTCTACACATTTTTGTGTAAACAAGTCAAGACATGGAATCAGTGATTAATCACACTCATGTGAGTGGGTAGTTACCGAGTTGTCAGGTTAGGTACACCTTTCCCTGATGAGAAATATGTTTTCTTTTTTTTTCAGAGATATCGACTCGGAACTCTAACGCCTACAGATTAAATGTACATGACAGTAGACAATATCCAGAAATTCATTTTATCTGAAACAAATATTTTTCTTTTCTATTCAAAATACACTAGGATGACATATTTTCTTACAAACATCATGATTTGTTTTTTCTATAATGATTTGAAGTACGAAGGATTTTTCTTTTTCAGTCTACATTAGGCAATTGTTGTCATTTTTTGTCTACAACTTATGTTGTGTACTTTGATATATGCATTTTGTGTTCATTTTTTTCATAATCAGGTCAGTCATATTTACATCTTATTTAGTTATATCACTTACAACGTGTGGAACTTGTTTCCTGAGTAAAAATGTAACTTTGTATCTCATGTGATTCAGATTACCTACAATCAACTATGAAACTAATGACTCGACTACACTCTTCTTCTTCTTCTTGTATGTATAGAACTGAGGGCCATATTGTTAAAAGGTTACTTACTCTAGTTAGCTTCTTATCAAGACTTTCTACGGGATAGGATTGCTGGCCCCATACCCAACCCTGCTCCTTTACCTAGTCTTGGGGTCAGCGGTAACCCTAGAAGATCTACAGGTGGAGTTATTGCTAAACGTAGTTGGCAATACGTTTTGAACTTAGATTTCACATTGGCTAACCTTCATCATCAAGTTATACCTGGAATCTTGGAGACAGATGCTTCCTGTGTGGTTTGAATATACATCACTCGGCTTACCAGTCTAATTTATTATTGTTCAGCTAACCGACCCCCTACAGGACTGATATTTCCACAGTTGACTGACTGCTAATCATACATCGAGTCAGTGAGACTAGAGGTCACGGTGCAACTTGTAACCACCACCTGGTAACCTGTATTCACATCCCACTCATGATGATATACAACTCACATTTCGTTTATCACATAGTACTTCGGCTAGCACTATTGTGCGACGGTTGTCCTCAAAATTCAGATAAAAAATGTAGCTGGAACAATACGTACAATATAAGAGGCAAGCATATAATGACAAATCCAAGGGCCCCATAAGTGTTCTTTGTATCAGTTCACATAAGGGCTTGCGTTGATCTGTCACGCCGATTCATGAGATGAATATAATTTTAAACAAGTTTTCATATTACGTTTCAAACCTGATCAATAGGATTTAATTATCACTAAAAGACTAAGCAAACATGACATTGGTCACTACTCAGTGACCAGACAATTGAGTGTTTGAATGCGCTAATTTTGCATGATATATAAATAGAAACAAATTGACAGGCTAAAGATTAAGAAGCTACATATGAATTTGTTAGTAAATAAAAATCACATGTAGTGAAAATAAACAGACATTGCCATTACCTTAAGAATTTACTATTCAGTGTGAACTGTTTTTTTTCAACTATCACATTTCTAAACACAGTAGTGAAGAACAAATTTACTTTTTGTATTGGTAGTGTAAGCATAACTACGAATATTTGAAATTATCAATTTAATTAAAGACTCTGGATTTTTTATGCTGATCTAGCTACCTAATCTAATTATATCCACTTATTATTATTCTAAGACAAGTACTTATCATGTTCATTGGATTAGATGAAAATATCTTACACAAAGCAAAAATAAGCACATAATTATCACGAAGAGCCACAAACCATTGAAATGTTATTTCAAGTAGTGTTAATAATCTGTTGGGGTTTTCCCCTTGTAGGTTCAAATCCCATCACCGTTGCTAGTTGATACAACCGCAGAAAACTGGTACTTGAGACAAGGAGAAACACTGAGATATGTTAACAATACGAGAAAACGAAGATAAAAAATTGAATGATAGCAAACGAATATTTTGTTTAAAAGAATCCCTCACTAACCAAATATATACATTTATCAACATATTTTACTGACATTTGACAAATCATCAACAAAAATCAATACTGAAATAGTAGGAATAAAAAGTGAAATTATGCAAACTGACAAGCTTTGTAAATGTCACAGTAAACTAAAGCAAAAGAATGCCGAGTATCATAGTGAAATAATGTCATAGTAAATTAGTACAAAAGGATGTTATTCTGTACAAATACCACATGAATACTACATTGAATTACAGTATTATATCGAGTTTTATCCTGTCCTAACAAGAAAAACACACAATTCACCTACATTAATATCATGATTTTGTGAACAGGTAGCTTTGAATAACAAAAGTATCGTTCCGCAAGTCCGGTGATCAAAGCGAATTCGTACAACCTAAAATAGGAAAAAACGAAACAAAATATCTGATACAATATTATGATCGTAAAATCGAAGGAATTAATTATAATGTTAAATTAGAAGACCAATACAAAAATTCTAGTGAAACTTCTTTTCGAGGGTCCTAACAAAGGAACTAGATAAGGAATGGTCATGACGTGATGGCGTATCCGTGGTGTCCAAGATACAAATGCTCAAGGCCAACTCCACATAGCTTTCTACCGAGTTCTTGATGCACTAGTCCTGTATCCTGAAAGTCTTAACACTGGCAGCTGAAAGCCATCGACAAGATGAAGCGTAGGTTTTCAGGGTTGATCATTTCTAACCCTTTCCTTCCGTTGTCAAGAACTATCGCCGATTGTTTGAGGGAAATACCTTGCTACTGTCGCGCCTTAGTATACACAGCAGTACGAGTCCGCATTTGAAACTTTATTTTCTACTTACAGCGATGTTCTTAGACCGACCTGTTTGTCATGTTAAGACCTAAAGCAATAAGCGTTACAGTCAACACGACAGACAAGTCCGACCACCATGTCGACGTAATAGCTACAGTCAGGTTCAAGCAACTAAGACTCATAAAATTGCACTATCCAACACATTGACATTTCATACATTCTGACCCTTGAGTAAATTTAAATCGAGAATAAGATTAAAAATAAAATCGTCCTGTAGAATACCATATGTGGCTGATGAGAAACTTTGAATTATAATGAAGTCACTGATGGAAATTTCTATGTATGACGGTAAGCAACAGAATTTCAAATCTAAAGCAGAATATTTTTTACATAAATATGACAAGTTCATTGTTGATATGAGTGTTAACAACCATTAAATGTACGTTCATGGTTACCTTGTGAACTCATTCTAACTCAGACAACTGACGATGGAAGATGAAAGTAAATTTTTATCAAGCCGTTACTAAATTCATTTAACAAAATACATTACAGTGCTTTGTATAAAATGTCCAAACTGTATACAACTGAAGTACAGTAATAGACTAATCACTAATGTTTTACCAATTACTGCGAAGAATTGTTGTTTAATTATAATAGTAATGACAATATAGTTTCAATAAGAGCGATTTAATAGTTGATCTTGAAAAAGCATTACATTCCATTTCTGCTTCCTTACTATTGATAGTCACCGCGTTAGTGGTTGTCTCTTAACAAGACACCATGTATCATCAACACGCAAATCGCTACTATTGTTTGATAGCAACCTGTTAAATTTGACTTGATTTTCCTACCTTCAAACTTATCAGCAACGTTGTGAACAGTTCTGAAAACTTAAACATCGCGTAGTAGCCTCCAATCAGCTTCTGTTTTGAATCCCGCTACATTTAGGTTTGGACGGCTTACTGGTACCACTAACCCTTACGCAGAAAGTGACTTGAAGCCGGATTAAAATCCCTGAATTTGGTAAACGGGTTATACTGGCAAAAATTAAGTCGACATTAACCTCGCAGTGATAGTACTCAGTTGATTTAAGACATTAAAAATTAACAAATACGCACTCATAGCCGTACAAAAAATGTACAAACAACGTACCCAGCGAAAGATGACTTTATGCACAAATATCCCCGTACTAACTCACAATATATTCAATAACCACCAAGATATTTTTGACAACTGCATGCTTTTAAACTGATTTGAGACACTTCGATTTCTTTTAAATGAACTATACTTATACACCAGGCATGTATACTCGACAGGAGTCCGAGCTACATAAACAAAGCGTGTTGGATAATCGTATTTTGTCGCTGGGCACAGACTGAGCATAATCATATGACAGTTGTGTACCTTCAAAGATAACTGTGTTAGCAAATAATGCTAAATAGGGAATGAAACTATCAACTCGAACAGGAACTACTGTTAGATTAGGTGTACAAGAATGGTTAATTAGGCGTGCTTTCGACTTTACTGAACCCAACGATTCGGAATTCCCGTCAACACATGTCTCTGACACAAGATGATGGTCACTATACTCACGCATTATCATGATAAAATTGCGACCATAACATGAAAGTTGAAAAGCTTCTCTTAGGCAAGCTTCTTTATATGGAATTACTTCACCCAAATAAACACAAACGAGTTCCCCACGTTGGATTTCACAAGCTGCTTTTAAACCTCTACCCATAACCGGGTGATTAGTTACATAAGTTTTCGTATGGTACTCAGACTCAAATGTAGACTCAGCATCTTTTAAATATCTTTGGACGACTCGATTAGTACATGATTGACTACAAACACATTCACTGTTGCATTCAAAAACTGGATTCATAAAATTAGTCAGTAAACCATTCATATCATATGACATTCCAGATCTCGATAAGCAAGTACAATTGTCTTCTAGGCGGCAGATATTTTCACATTTACATCCAATAAGTTGCTCTGTTATTAGATCGATAGGGATGTCCTCATGGTATAATAACTCCATGTATCCGACAAAACCTGCAAATAGAAAATCGGTTAGAAAACAGAACAAGCATGGATCTGGAAGTTGGCCTTATGTCTAACATACTATTCGACCTCACAAGTACACTTGCTTCACATAAATGTTTGTTTGACCACTCGTTAGGTGTGTTAAACTTGAGTTAAGATTAGGATATCGAGTAGAGCAGATTGCTTTGTACTCTTACTGATGAAACCTGTGATTTAACTATTGAAGGTTTTTTGGTTAATTCTACAGATGTACAAATCATGCCACATGGTTACATACGCATCGATCCTACTTGCTTTCTATTTTCCCGTTCTCATTTTAAAAGTAGAAACTCCACTGAATCTTTCAATTTTGTCATTCTTGCAAATAATGAGAACTTTAATAACTGAATAAAGGTAGGTTTTAACCCACTTCTTGCCTAGTGAGTAATTGGTGTGCAATTCGATCACGAGGATGTTTGGAATTTCGTGAAAAAACTGAGGCATTTATCTAACTGAACACAAATACCAGTACACAGGGAAATCAAATACATATGCGCCACAAAGATCACTTCATTTGTGTGTGGACTGTGAAACTGTCCGGGTAACCAAACCGAAGCAGGTAACCTTAAGGGGTCACACCAGAAGCCTCTGACCTAAAGATTTGATCCACAAGGCAGTAGAGAAACTTCAAGAGACGCAGTCCCATGATAGCCAGAGACCAATGGTTAGTTCATACGCCATTTGTTTGGAAACAGGGTTTACGAACACAACGAGTTGAATCCTTCGTGTCAACCAACCCAGTTCAAGTGCCAGGCTTGGTAAAACCCTGGAATAGGATGGATTGAAACTGGGGTCCACGGTATGTAGTAACGATTGCGAGTACTCCGTAATTTGATATCCACCGATCAAGGAATACGGCTTCAACTGTCTCTGCGGATGTATCTGTGATAGGGCATGCTGTCGTTCATCTTGTAAACCTGTCCACTGCGGTAAGAGTATGCGTGAAAGAGTTTGATGGTGACAGGGGACCAACTATTTCTAGGTGAATATGTTGAAAGCGTTTATCAGGCAATGGAAACTTCCCAATAGGACTAATTGTGTGTCTTTGAACTTTACTGCGTTGGCATTGTAAACAATTTCTGGTCCATTGATTTATATTTGCGTTCATTTTGGGCCAAACAAATCTTTCCGCGATCAGTCTCACAGTTACCTTAGCCAAAAGTGGAAAATATACTTTAAAAGCGGCTAATAAAACTGAAATAAAGACATTTGGTGAACAACTTCTGACATTAGATTTGGGAATAAGACGTCGTTTAAGCTGTGTTTATTATCGTTGATGTCCGTCACCCTATATTAGGTGCAGACTTCCCAAGCTCCTACAACCTACTAGTTGATGTTAAAAAAAGAAAACTTGTCGTTTCTTGCACAAAACTTCAAGTTTCTGGAATTCAGTCGGACTGTCATATACATAGTATTAAAATCGACACTCCAGGAAACGATATATTCGCCTATATTTTATCAAAATTTCTCAAGATAACGAAACCAGACTATAGTGAAAACACCATCCAACATTCCATAGTACATCGAATCATCACAAAATGCCAACCAGTTTCGCCACGTCCAAACCGATTACCACCGGACAGCCTTACTGTTATAGAAGCTGAATTTGAGCACATGATACAACTTGGGATAATACGTCCGTCAAGTAGCCCCTGGGTATCCCCACTCCACATGGTACCTAAGCGAGATCAGGGTTGGCGACCCTATGGTGATTATCGGTCATTGAATAACTTAACGTTACCTGATCGTTAGCCCATTCGCTTACCTTACACGGCAAACAATTTTTTTCTAAAATCGATCTTGTGAGAGCGTACCATCAGATTCCAGTAGCATCCGAGGATATAGCAAAAACAGCCATTATTAATCCATTTGGTTTGTTTGAATTTCTGAGAATGCCATTTGGATTAAAGAATGCTGCATAGACTTTTCAACAATTTATGGATGAGGTCACTAAAGGTCTAAATTTTGTTTTCGTGTATATCGACGAAATATTAATAGCTAGTCGTTTCTTTCACGACTTCGGTGGCTTGGATATGTTCTACGAATGTCGTCCTAGAGAATTCCACGTCGTGCACTATTTGCCGACGCTGGGACTGGTTGGAAAAAGAGATGTGGTCAGTGTATGACATGGTGTCGTGGTATGAAAGAAAGCTGCAAAGAGCTGGCTTCTGTTTGTCCTTCTCGACTCCCTGGCTGGGGTTCGAGAGATGGTGCAACACAGTGGCTAGAGACGTTATCAGATATGGTTCAGAATAGAAGCCAGTGGCGATCCTGCTGTAAGCTTCTTTTACTTCATAAAATGTAGTTGTACCTTCCTTAACTGAAAGAATTCTTCTGGTTGTACCCTTCCGTTTCCCCTACTATTATTACTATTAAGATAACACTACCATGCACTAATCTGTGGTCGTTACTGTTCTTTTTTTCTTATATACACCTTACTTTTTTTTTCTCTTCCCATTCTCATTGTGTTTGTGTGGCCCCCCTTGTACCAATATCTATGTGTTCAAATAAATGAATAAATAACATCAACTATTCGAAAGATTTCAGAGATCTGGTATAGTTATTAATCTATCCAAATGCATTTTTGGAGTCGAGAGTTAAGAGTTCTTAGGTCACTCGATTGACAAACGTGGAATCGAACCGTTGTACACAAAAATTGCAACCATCAAAAGTTTCCCAGAACCAGATTCATGGAATAAACTCCGTTTCTTGGGGATGATTAATTTTCATCATCGGTTTATTCCGCACTGCTCAGCCATTCTACAACCTTTAACGGAGATGTTAAAACGGAGTCAATAAGTTCACATTATCCTCCGAAGCGAAAGATGTCTTTCCTGCAGCTAAAACAGCAATTGCTTCTACTACCATGCTGAACTACCTGAGTCCTGACCAGGAAGCAACACTGATTCTGTGTACAGACGCATCCCAGGCAGCAGTAGGGGCGGTACTACAACAGCGAGTAAATAATGAAGTCAAACCACTTGCTTTTTTTCAAAGAAGCTAAAACCAACTCAAACTCGATATAGTATTTTTGGTAAAGAATTATTGGCCATTTACTTAGTTGTTAAACATTTTAAACACTTACTGCAAGGTAGAAATTTCGTGATACTCACTGATTACAAACCTTTAACTTACGCCTTTAACGCTAAAATCGATCGTAATTCACCTAGAGACATGCGGCAACTAAATTATATTCCCCAATTTTCGACTAATACAGTTTATAAAAGGTAACTCAAATGTTGTTGCAGATACAATACCACGTTTCAACGTCGATGCAATTTGCTTCACCAACGAAATCGATTTATTAGACATTGCACGTTTACAGATGGATGATTCTGATCTTGCTGCATGTAAGCAAAGTCCGAGTCTGGTGTTAAAGTGTCCCAATACCACAATCTGACTACTATAATTTGTGGTACTTCGACTGGAACACACAGACCATTTGTGTCAGTGTACAGAAAAACAGGTTTTGACTGTCTCCACTTATTATCTCATCCAGGAATCCGTGCTTCTGTAAGACTGATCGCAGAAAGATTTGTTTGGCCCAAAATGAACGCAAATATAAATCAATGGACCAGAAATTGTTTACAATGCCAACGCAGTAAAGTTCAAAGACACACAATTAGTCCTATCGGGAAGTTTCCATTGCCTGATAAACGCTTTCAACATATTCACCTAGAAATAGTTGGTCCCCTGTCACCATCAAACTCTTTCACGCATACTCTTACCGCAGTGGACAGGTTTACAAGATGAACGACAGCATGCCCTATCACAGATACATCCGCAGAGACAGTTGAAGCCGTATTCCTTGATCGGTGGATATCAAATTACGGAGTACTCGCAATCGTTACTACATACCGTGGACCCCAGTTTCAATCCATCCTATTCCAGGGTTTTACCAAACTTTTGGGATTATAGTACATCAAAACAACAGAGTACCATCCGGTAGATAGTGATCTGGTCAATAGAATGCACCGCCATTTGAAAAGCTCTCTGTTTGCACAAACTGATAAATCGAAGTGGAGTGATGCACTACCACTCGTAAAGCTAGGAATCCGTTCAACTTTCAAAAATATAGGTTGCACATCCCTCGAAGTAGTTTATGGTAGAATTCTAACATTACCAGATCAACTAGTAGACCCAGACACAAAACTACCGCCTGATCGAAATCGTTTTGTGTTCCGTCTACTGCAAACGATGCAAAATATCAGAGCAATACCGCCGCGAGAATATAACAATCGCGTACAACTTGACAAACGCCTTGAAACGTGTAAAATTGCCTTTGTTCGGATCGATGGCGTTAAAAAGCCATTGAAGCGATCTTACGAATGACCGTACCAAGTAATTAAACGAAAAAACAAACGGTTCATCAACAAGTGTAAGAAGGAGACAATCTCTATAAATAGTATTAAACCAGACTACTATGGAGTTCAACAAAATAAAGAGAATAGCTGTACAGATAAACAACCGGTAAACATTTATTACAGACATCTACCGAACATACTTTCATTAATAAAGCGTATGTTACCAGACGCCCTCGCACAGTACCGCCAAGTTTAGCTGCCGCCGTTTCCCTTCAAACCTCAAGCTTTTTAAAGAAAAATACAACCCTTAGGTACCTGAATTCCCCACCTTGGCTGTATCAGAGAGATATTGGTGATATATAAATACAGTCATTATATCATTATACCTAAAAATGTGAGTTGATGATAAATAACAAATTTAAAGTGTAAAAATGACACAGGTATTCGTAGTTTAACAATGCCTTTACACATAACACCTATATGAGCGAAGTGTACCAACCCAGTCAAGTAAGAGGTCAGAAATGAAGGGATTCAAATATGTATTTTGAAGGCTATCAATATGTCGAGAAGCGTTTGGTCTAAGCTGCAAGGGATGCTTAGCATGGTATACCCACTAGTGGTCTGGTGCTTATGCCTGACCAATAGCCTCCAGCTAGATTTGTCCATCAAAACTAATGTGGTCACATCATCGTATTGCTATGTTTAATATGAAGAATTTCGTGGTTTAAAAAACTGCAGTTAGAAAGTTAGTATTTATTTGCATGTATACTTTTCTGCGTTCTCAGATAGAGCCAAATCATTTTTGCAGTTCGAACGTGATATATATCGCCTACACTCTCAGCGCTTTTACTATTCCACGGATAGTTAGGTTACATTTTGTGAGTGTGAATGAATCGGATCAACATATCTCCTCTTGTTCTTCTGAATTACACAGTTTCCAAGTTTAATCCACCTATGTGAGATGATAAGAGTCCATTCCTTAACATAAGTTCCTTTAATATGTCATTTTTCGAACTATTTCTAGAAAGGAAACATATTTATTGAAGTATCAGAAGTTCATAAACATTAAAATCAACTTTAAATATCTAAAAGCTCAGTCTATCCAAACCTCTGGAGAAGCCGTGTTATTATTCGTTTTCTTTGACTCCAGAATTTCAGTTTGAAGAAATATGAACAGTATCCTTAGGAGTATTACGTTAGAATTTTCTATGTATGAAGTATCATAGCCCATTCATTCAGATTGTTTAGTATCGACGCACGATTATTATTCACTTCTAGAAAGGTTCAAATATCTGGTGAGCCATTTGCTCATTCTACATAAGTTTTTTTGGAGAGTAAACATTACTTCGGGATCTTGTATCTAACGTTAAGATTTGGGAAGAGTTTGGGTAAAGGGATCATCCACAAATAATTATAGCAATGGTGACTATAGGGCCCTACATCAATCTGTTTGATATATCATTCAAGTCAAACGACCCTAAACTAACACTGGCGGCAAGTAATTTCGTAATTATATAATAATATAGTCGTTTGACGATGTTTGATTTGAGAACACTGTTAGGTCACTTACCATTAACATAGTCAAATCAAAAGTCTATGTAAGACTTTTGGTACAATGAGGCAATCAAAACCCTCCAAATGAGGTTGAGTTGTGCAAATTGGAAATCTCCCGACTGACAAGTGTGTATTCTTGACCAAAACATGGTTCCCTTTTCTAAGGAATGTACATAAACATATGTACTAATGATAATTTGACCATGTGATTAAGTTTAGCTCAATAAACATCCTTTCTACTTGTAATCTTCTTATTTGGCAGAGAGTCATGGGCCTGCCAACACGAAGTTGGTCTAGCAGTATCAATTTCGGACATTGCACATTATAACACTTTATGGTTTATTTTGTCACACTGCAGAAGCCAATCAAAATAAGAAACTGTAAAATTAACAAATCATCAACAATTTGAATATTTCGTACTCTAAGCGAACAAACAAACGAACAAGTTCAAAGCTCAGGATTACTTAAAGTAAGTTCGATGTCAAATCTTCTGTTATATGCCTGACGCCGATGTTTTTAAGAATACTGTTCACATCATGCCCTCCAGAAGCTGGACGCAACCAGAAACAAAAGTAATCACGATGATTCGTGTTATCCAAGAAACAGGGATGCAAGAGGACACAATCACAACAAGCGGTACAATCACAGGATAGTGGAAACTGGGTTGTAAAGTGTATTCAACAAAATGATAATAACAGATCTCCTCCTACTTTTTCTTTTTTTGACTCTATGATCTGTAACACATTCACTTATATTCATCTACGACAATGAAGTTGGTTAACCAGCAAGGTTTTGAAGCAACCAGACAAGATTCAAGTTGCAGTATATCAAATTATTTGGCACCCAGTAGAATTAATCCTCTGAAAAAGCTTAAATATGGAGTGTGGAAACTAACGCACAACTCTCTTAATTAAGCTTATGGATTCTATCTAACCTTGGAGATCATGGTGAAACGCTTCAAAATGCATGGTGTGTTAACCTTTTGAGAGTTTGAAGATACTATAAGCTGAAGTTATGTAACTTGATCAAAATTCCTTAGCTGGTAACCGAACATCATAGTTAGTAAGGGTGTGTACGCTCGAGGATGTTTATTTTCCACGGTAGAACAATACAAAGCTTGTTATTTAATATCCAACCTCTATTTGATGAGCTAAAGGTTTTGAAATCATATGAATTTTATTATATATATTGCTATTTCTAGATGAAATGTTCCGCCGGTTTCATAAATAACCGTAGCATATTAATTGGGAATAATGATAGTGTTTAACCACATGAGTGTAAATGAAAAAGTATTCTACACTACGCTTAGCAATTTTTGATTTATTTGAATTTGGTTTCTAGGCTGGAAAGGATTAATCAAGGGGCTTGTAAAGTCCAAATTCCAGTTAACAAAATCCTGTAGCCCAAGTAAATCAATAATAAATCTTATATCATGTCATATATTTACTAGTTTAGAATTCTGAAATGTTATCGCCTTTCTAGGTTTGCCGACAATATTATATAGTAGTTGGAAACAATCTTTCGCAGAAGATACAGTCCTCTTGCCGTACGACTTCTTACAATTTCTCTTGTCATGCATCCTTGAGCTCAACCAAGCCCATAAGCGTTTGATATTCCCCGGTCTCGATAGTCTTCTAACATCTTTAGTGACATGGAGTACCAGTGAAGCTCAAGTGGAACCTTTATGTTTAAAATGCGTTTCCAAATTTTAACGTCGTCGATTTCAAACAATTCAATGAAGACCTTTTATGGAAAATAGGAAGAAAGTGGTTCCTAGAATGATATATTTTGATCCTCCGGGAGTTCAGTTTTTCAGAATTATATGTATTCAGCCACAAACGATGAACAATGTCACCCTTTGGAGTATTTTTAGAGCCAGGAGTGGAAGTGATGGGCAAACCTAGTTTCTACAACTCTCACTATGAAGAGTTCTAGAAGAATATAAGGTCACGGTTCATAGAAGCTCCCGAATTTACGCGGATTTACTGTCAGCTGCACGTCACAATGCAACCTCCATAAAGCATGCCAACTGACATATTGACGATACGGATCTTACTAATTTTATATGCATTTATATATGAGAAGTATTATCCCCCATACTTTTATGATCAATAAATTTTATCAAATGTCAAACAAACTGAGTAACCAACCATAGTAAAGACTGTATGTTCTGTAACAATTTGATCTTGCTTGTAAACTGGGATGCATCAAGAAACAGTCTGTTATTTGAGATTAAGTTATCATTATTATTATTCATGTGATTTAGACTCCATAACAAATGTCAAATAGTTTTTTCTAGCCGATTTTTATGGTAATTTTACTGAGTGGGTTTTCCATAACATCCAATCCATGTTATCATTGTGAAGATTTCAGTTACTCCTGGGCTCACTGTTTTTGTTAGTGGTCTTCTATATACTAAACTGCGGCCAAAAGGAACGTATTGAATGTAAAGCTTATCAATCAGTAAAATTGAGTGTATCGTTTCATGGAAAGGTGTAGAATCCATTCATATAGATCCTACCATTATCCCTGATCAATGTAATCGCTTTCTCATTACAGTGACATTTTGTCAACTTCAGTTCTAACCGCATCGCAATCATTTTTGTGTTATTTTTTCCATGAATCCCATGCAGCCTGTTATCGCTTTGTAAATATTGGAGGTCATGTGGTCCCCAATTTTTCCTAGCTAATTCGAAATCGGAAAAGACCAGGATCACCACCAGGATCGTTTGTATCATTTGAACCATCCACACGCACTCCAAGTTTGACATGAACTTGTTGACCTCTCCCCAATAATCGGAAATATCCACTTTTCCATTAACGTATTGGAATACTAGGCACTTCCAAGGATGCTGAATAAGTCTTCACATTGCTGGTAAACAACCACGATCATACCAAAGCTGAACCACTATGCGGTATGTCTAGTTGTGTTGATCAACTGCTCCCTTCCTTCGTGCGAACACAGCACTTGTGGATAATGTGCTTTATTTACGCGAAGTTGCTTGCTAGGTCGGTCAAAAGTAAGGTTTGTTGAAACGGCGGCTAACTAATATGTTGAGGCTAATGTCCTCAATATCTGACTCTAATAAATAATATCCCCGTGAACTGAGTATTTAAGGTAGGCTTAATCTCCTAGTAGAATTACGGATTTACTCGAGATTATTCAGAAGCCTGAACACCAGTTGTAGAGATAATTTATTGTTAATAAATAATAAAAATCCGCAAGGGTACAGCGAGCAAGCACATGATGAAGCCAAGTAAAAATGACACGCAGGGAAGATGGCTGGGAAGCCAACTCCTTTTTTGTCAAGCGTTATCCAATATTTATAGTCAGACGAAAATAAGCTACAGACATGCATGAGTCATGGGATATGGTGTGCACACACATATACGCTCATATAAAAACAGTGAAAACTGATAAGCGAATAAATAACAAGGTCAAAGTATGGCTCAAGTAGAATGAATGAAATGGGATGTCCGAAAGCTAGAATAAGGTATATGGGCTTAGCATAATGACTGACACTACAAGTTACAATTTCAAGCGTCACACAGGTTTTGTTCTCGTGTAGCAAGTGTCCACCTATTTCTATTTCTTTAGTCCTTCAAAGCCTTCCTCCCGCATACCTCCTCCTTAAACTGTCTCAACTTTTAATTTTTAATACATTGAGTAGCACGCACAGTATTAGCGTTGCCAACAGTACTTACACTACAACCACAATAATGACTAACAGAATAA